GAGAAAACGTGCTATAATGAATATATTTAACCAAAAAATGCGTGTCAGATATAACGTACATAAAACATATATATATAATTATTTACATGGACGGGTAACTGTCAGAATAGTGGCGATAGTCAGTTTAATTATAAATGGTCCTAAGCTCCAACCGTCCCCTGAACATCTCATCTCTCCGGCACATACGGGTACTTCAACGTAAAACGTCATGGCCGCGAACCTTTTCGGGAACTAGAAAACCGAATATCCTGCCTGTTAAACCTTATTGCGGTGTGTTCAGCGCTTAAGTGGAAAAGAAAGTAGGTGCCAGTTCACCCTTTATTCACATGTTGTCGTGTGTATCGGTGTAGTGTTAGGGGTTTCTCTTCTACCTACCCTGTTCCTGCTGAGATTAGCAGGCAGGCGAGAACAGGAACAGGTGAGCGTCACACAGTGCCCCCTGGGTAAAGCAGTTTATTTAGGGCCATATGAATCTCCCAGAGAATCGGACATGGAGAGGGCAGAAAAGCTTGTGAAAAGTGCCAGTGAGAGAAAGAGTCAAGCACTGGGTGTGTTTGCGTTACCATTTTGACACATTTCGTGTCAACCAAGTGTTTGTTTTATCGACATGTCTTACAATTATTTTGAGATAATTAAGGTTGATAGGTCAGCCGACATGCCCTATGGCCCTTCAGTCTTCCGAGTGCATCAATGATCCAGCAAGCCAGATATTGATTATCTGGACATCTGAAGCTATGGAGTCATAGGAGTGCCATAAAAAAAGAATATATCTGTAAAATAATAAGAAAATAATTATATTAGTGCTGGTCAACTATAACATTTTTTATTTATTATTTAAAATTTTGTTATGTCTTTGTTTTTTCAAATGTATTTATTTATTATTTTTATTTATTTCTCTTTATATTTGTACATTTATTTGTTTTATTATTTTACAGATTTATTCTTTTTCATATATCACCAGGGTATCTTTACTTTCAACCTGTTTTAAATCGAACTGTTTGAGCTAGGCTATTTATTTGAAGAAGACAGTCCTATGCTTCTACTGTACTCCAGCGGTCAGTCTCACTTACTAAGCTAAGTTGAATCAACATGTTCTTGTTAAGGACACCTACCTGGATTTTGCAATACCTTAAAACAAATCATACACCAACTGCTCCTCTCAACACAGATGGCTCCAGTAGGGTGTCAACTGAGTTGATTCACTATGTTTTTGTTTAGGGCCCTTCCCTAGTTTCCTCCTTCTCCTCTACAGACAAAATTCAATCATCTGATTTAATTCCTGTTCAACTACAACTCATAAATACCAAAAAACAAATAATTCACCATCTTTTCAGAGCTGCCCGGTTGACTGTTGCACATGCCTAATCCCAGAGCAACAACAATATAATTACTAACAATAACCTTCCCATGGCATGAAAATCTCTGCTACACAACTAGATTCAATGCTGAACAAAGACATCCTTCCGCATGTATTTGATGAACCCAAGCCAGTGATAGTAACGTTTCATGCTGTGCGTACAGACTTAATTAGTTGAGCTTGCCTGTGCAGCTATACCAAAGATGTGGGTCATATGTCAGTAGACAAGCTGTTGTTACTCTGGTTAGGGAATGATTGTCTCAGTGAGAAACTAACAAAAACTAAAACTAGTACTGTGTCGCTATCAAAAACTCTGCTCATTTAATTATTTTTTTCAGCTGTTGGTCAAATATGTCTTATCTTACGTATCTGTTTAAATTTCAGAATAGTACTACCGACATTTCTTGATATTTAACAGTTGACCTTCAACTGATACACATCATTCAGTATTTCTATTGAAATTGTACTCGGTGAAGTAAAGTGACAAATAGTTGGTCGCCAGGGCAGCACCATTGCTCTCAATTAGATATAATGGTCTTAGGGAGACCAGTGACTTCCAGTGCTGTTTTTAGCCACATCTCTGTTTAATCAGCTGAAGAGCACTTACAGCTCAGCTGCCCACACACATTTTGACAACTCCAATGTGTGTGAAAATGTAATGGGATTTTTACTGCACACTGAATTAATCAGGAAAAGCTTGATATACCTGCTTGTCTTAAAAGCACAGTAAAACATCAACATGTCATTATTTAATCAAGCCATTGTGAATGTCATTGTAAAACAATTGTAGCAGTAAATGATGGCAGTAAGAGCTTAAACCCAGATGATGTTTGATATTGATATGTTTCGAGGGGATTAAAGATGTAGTGACACTATTTCTGAGCTACTTGTCTGGGTGGATTTGTTCTTCGTCACTGAGCAATTTAAAATCTGTTTCACCTCTACCCCTGTTAAATAGGATTTGTGCTCAGGGTCTTTGGGCTTTAACAGGCCAAAATAGGACTACATTTTATGTTTGGTTTGTTGTTCAAATGTTTGTTCTATTGAGCCAACTATTTGTTTTGTTTTGTGTCTTTCTGTTGTTCAAATTGTTTTACTTTCCCGAACAAATGTGCTTTTCTTTGCACAAAATAATGACAGTATTCCTGTTGGGCCAAACATCCTTGACAGTTTCTGATGGTGAAACTACAGCACCTGCGCAAAATTTCTCAGTCCTCAGCATACCATACTAACAAAAGTTTCAATGCTCATATTACTAAGGTCACTTAATCAATGCAACATGTGCTTTCAAAGACATTTTTCTTATTTTAACATCATCACCCTCATGAGCAGTTTTGCAACATGAGTAATTACATCACCACCACTGGCATGCATTTGAATTGTATGTAGAAGGAAATGGAAAAAAAAAGGTGATACTTCGTGTCTTTTGATTACTGTCAAAATGTTGCAATGTATTGAGTGTCTGTTATAGTACATTGTTGATTACACATACAAGTGATTGAAATGAGGTTTGGTGTCTTGAATAAAAACAAAATTTGTGGTCGATACAGAACAGAAAAAGTAAACTGGTGCTGTGAATTATAGTCAAAATTATCTTTTTATCTTGTCAAATTGTAGGATTTACTATGTTAGATTTTGAAGAGTGTACCATTTTCTATTATGCTAATTGAAACTCTGTTATCAAAGCTCAGCCAACACTTTTTCTAACATATGGCAAATGACATCCTGCCTGGACTTGTTCAGCTGCATATCTAAATTCTCATACAGATATACATATGTTAAAGATAAAACAAAGAATTGAGGAAAAGTTGTGTTCTTAGACACTAAGAGGAGACAATCCACTTTGGCTCTACAGCCTTCTTCTGAACCCGGCTGTCAGATTTCTGGCCAACGTTAAGAAGAAATTATGGTTACTTCCCTTTGCCGGGTGTCTTAGCTTTCATTATTCCTCATCGGAATGATTCAAAACATAGTAGCTTGGACAGGGAAAACAATTCAAATGATCAATTAAGACTTATGTCAATTAAGAGTCAAGGTTAATTTTTTTGTATGAAATATGCATTCCATGAAACCAAGCATGAATTCATTGTTGAACAGTCGAACGATGCCTACTGAGTTATCACTTACACTAATAGCTTCTGCCTCTAATAACGTTAGGGTGTAATCCTCACCAGCTAATGAATGACCAAGTAAGATTTCAAATGCAGGGTAAACCTCAATCTGATGCCCCTACCTTTTCATCACACCACCCTGGAGGAGCGAAGGCGAGAGTCAGTGACTTGAAAGAAAGCATGTTTAACAGGACAGAGATGATATCTGTTTGTTCTGGTTGATAGAAGGGGAGATATAAATATATGTTGGATGCTGACCAGTTGGATTTACTTTATTGCTTTCAAGTCCTCAGTTGACGTCCTGCTACAGCAATAAAGTACGGTGAGTGATGGTGTATCAAAATTAATTAAAAATTGTGTGTGGGATGAACTTGATGTAAAATACTGTTTTTCTTAAATAAAACAACTGCTTATTGATATGACATTATTAATTTGTTAATATTACATATTAAATATTCCCTCAATATAGAGTCACCTTTTCATAATAATATTTCATAATTAAAAGTAAAAAACATTGATATCAATTAAATTCTGCTAAATTCTGCAGTTTCCTGTTTTAAAAAATTCTACTCCTACTAAGTTTGCTTTCTTTTGATTTAATAAGAGCTGCACTAAGATCCACGTGGACCAACCATAACATTTTATCTGTTATGCATCCTCAGTTTTGTTTAAACTCATTATAAACATGTTTAAAAATGTAGGTAAATTTACAGGGAGCTCAATCATCTATGTATAAATCTCTGGTCAGAGTTAATTGGATTGGTTGTAGAGTCAAGAAAGCAGCTGCCCATGCCAACATTTTCAGCGTTATATGTACCAGGTCAGGACAGAGTACACACACAAAATCCACACCTAGATAGACTTAACACTGTGATCCAGCGACCATTTCCTGTCCCATTTTGTTGCATGCATTTTTCTACACGGTGCGCTGCACACACAAAGAGCTCAGCATGCAGTATGAGACATTGTTTGCAGGGTTTTTTTGAACAATGCGGAGAGCTCCGCCAACTGAAGGTTTAAAACAATTAAACAACAAAAACAGGCCAAGGACTAAATGTTTCATCTGTTTGCAGTATATTTCAGCATGGAAAATGCCAAAATTGTAGTTCAAATGTGGAAATTTGCAGAACTGAAAGGACTGAAAGGAACCAGGTTAAGGAAGTGAGAAGATCTTGGGCGGCGATGCTCTCTTTTTGACCTTACTGCTCCCAAAATGTCTTGCCTTGCGTGAGTGTGTGCACAGCAACTTAATTTAATGCCATGTGTGTAGCATCTGAAATAAAAGGCCCTCTTCGGTGACTTTTGTCTTTAGAACAGCAGGGTGCAGCATATTACAACATCACTCCTTCTACACCTTCAATATTTTCTCACCTGGAAAGTGATTCTTATTTAATCACAATGAATCCCAAAAACATTGTTTTGTATTACAAATGTCAAGACATTAAGAATCAGTTCATCAGAACAAAAACAGTGTACAGTGATGGTTATGGGAGATCCCATGCTGGCCCTCTTGGTTAATTAGAAGTGGTAAATATTATCACATTATGGTAACATGTAAAATCAACTGCTGAGTGCAAAATAGACATTTTCAGCACTCTCATTAACTTCCTTATTGGTTTTGTGTGTGCCAGACAAAAGTGCAGCCATGGACATCGGTGGTTTGGAGACAGTGGTGGCAAATTCTGCCTATGTTTCAGCCCGTGGCAGCGTGGATGGAAATGCAGCATCAGCCATGCGTGACAAGAAGATGCATGCCAGGCTGAAACTCCCACACCTGAGAGATTGTGAACACATGAAGGCAACTGTAGACACAACCTTTGACAGCATGTGTGTCCAGCAGCCCATTGGCAAGCGTCTGTTCCAACAGTTTCTGGAGAGCGATGCAACCTACAAAAATGCAGGAGAGCTATGGAAGGACATTGAAGACTACACCGTATGCCAAGAGAAGGACAGAGTGCAGAAGGCCCAAAAAATAGTCAATAAGTACTATGACTCAGCTTCGAAGAATTTCTGCAGCTTCCTGGAGGAGAAGGCCATCACTCGAGTTAAGGAAGACTTCAAGAACATCCGTGGTGACCTGTTCAAAGAGAGCGAGCGGCAGCTGTTAAAACACCTGGAGAAGGCCAGAGATGGCTTCAAGAACAGCATGTACTTCTTGCGTTTTGTTCAGTTCAAATGGCTGGAAAGCCAGCCTGTTGATGAGGAGTGGTTCATGGACTTCAGGGTCCTGGGTAAAGGAGGTTTTGGGGAAGTGTTTGCTTGCCAGGCTAGAGCAACAGGCAAAATGTACGCCAACAAGAAGCTGGAGAAAAAGAGGCTGAAGAACCGTAAAGGCTACGAGGTAAAGCACTAATGTGGCATCTAATGTTCCACCCATAGCCGTTCAAAGTGTCAATCAAAAGAGTAAGGACACAAAGTGAGTTCATTCTACAGGCAACCTCATGATGATCTACAGCAGGAAATAAGAAAGAACAGGTTGTGAGAGAAAATTTCTCCATGCAGAGGTTTAGTTTTTACCACAACAGCTCAATGTGAAGAAGCTTGTGCTGCTCTCAAAGAACTCACAAAGCAGCTCAGAGCCAGACTCGAAGACAGGACACTACACTGAAGCCCACTGCCTCTAAAGGCATCAGTGTATAATGAGGACTTTTTAAAGCTAGGTGGGGCTTACCTCGCAAAACGAATAAAAAACTCCCCATCTATGTACTTGATGTACTAAGAATGGACCCAATTCTCAAAGCACATATGTAACTAATAACATTAATGGTGGCTCAGTTCCATCGTACAGTACCAGCAGGGGTTTTCATGTGTCATGGAGAGCTAACAGTCTGCAGGTTTTAAAACTAACCAAAGACTCTGCAAATAATTGCTTCAATGATATCGTCCCATGCTGAGGTGAGATGTTGCAATGAAAACCTGCAGACTGAGGGCTCATCATGGCACATGGGTGGCCATCCATCGAGCATGCTGCGCCAGAGAAGCAACATTCAAAACACTTTGAAATGAAATGTAAGGACCTGTGTTTAACAAGTCAAAAGAACGAGCGTCCTCAGACCAAGTCTAATCAGGCATCATACCCATGTGGCTGGACAGTAGGTGTTTAATTCTTTCTAGCTGCTGACATTGTACAGTCTTGCTTTTGTTGGATTAGTCATGTTCTGATGTTTGATTTGTGTTTAGGGAGCAATCGTGGAGAAGCGCATCCTTGCAAAAGTTCACAGTCGCTTCATTGTGTCGCTGGCTTATGCCTTCCAGACCAAGACTGACCTCTGCCTAGTTATGACCATCATGAATGGTGGAGACCACAGGTGCTCTATATAAACACCAAAAACAGCTTTACACACACACACACACTGATATCCAAAGACTGACTTCAACACTGTTCCTTTAAAGCACATGCTACATACAGGTTTCTGTATTTAACGACAGTGTTACACTCATCTCATCTCTTCTAATCAGCCTAAGGTAGATAAACCTCACAGCTAATATACAGACTAGACCCTCAGGTGCATCATGCTGCATGTCAGAGAGTAGCTCAAGTAGCTTCTCTTCCCTCTTCTACTTTTCAGAGAGGCCTCTGAAAATCTGTGAAACACCCTAACTGTATGTTTCACAGGTTTCATATGTACAATGTGGATGAAAAAAATCCTGGTTTTGAGTAGCAGAGAGCACGTTTCACCACAGCTCAGATCATCTGTGGGCTGGAGCACCTTCACCAGCACAGAATCATCTACAGAGACCTGAAACCAGAGAACGTACTGCTGGATGATGCAGGTGAGTGAGTTTTCTCTGAAGCATTTCATGTATCTATATGCACGTGCTGATACTACATGTACAGTCCCAAAGTCAGTAGAAACGTAAATTTGTTAAATCTCTCTGGGGCCCATGTCACAAAGCAAGACTGGTGGCTTAACCAGATAACTGGCTTGACCCATGACGCTGGCTCACTTTTAACCACAGGAAATCACCATGGCCACTAACTCTAAGCCCATGTACCAACTAATTAAATCACTGGGAGAATGGAGGTGTCACCACACTACAGAATCTAAAAAAGTAAAATATGATAAAGAACAAATAAAAAAAAAAAGTAAGACGTTGTTAAGCGCACAGAGCAACTTAAAGATCAGACAAATAGCTTTGCTTCAAAACAGGGCTTTTAAGATATAGCACGGATCTAGTTTGTTCTAATAACACATGACATTCACAGTCACCTTGCTGACATTGTAAATACCAAAAAGATTCTCCTCAGTGATTAAGCCTATATTTTGCACTTATATTCCACCAGTGCAGTTCAGTGAACAAGAACGATAAGATTTTATTAAAAGATAAAACTATGTTTTATTATGTTTCATTAATCAGGCTTGGAGTGAAAACCTTCTGAACACAATAGTAGGTTGTCTGTTCAATAGCCATATGCCACTGTTGTAATTGAAGCCTTTCCACTCAGGACACGTCCGCTTGTCAGATTTGGGTCTGGCTGTTGAACTTCCACCAGGAAAAGATAAAACTTCGGGATATGCAGGAACTCCAGGTAAGTGAACCGATCCAATATTCAAAAATGAAGTTAAACAATTCTGACCCTGAGGAGGGGAAACACTCTCATCCAGGTCAGCATTACAGAAGCAGTCTGTTGTGCGTGAGATCTTATTGTCTATGATTATAGGTTTCATGGCTCCAGAGCTGATCCAGAAGAAGGAGTATGACTACACGGTGGACTATTTTACTCTGGGAGTCACCCTGTTTGAGATGATTGCCGCCAAAGGGCCCTTTAGAGTACGAGGAGAGAAGGTATTAAACACGTGTGACACATCAGGTGACCTTTGAGGGCAAAAATATCTTCAACTCACCTGTTCGCTCTTGTCTAGTGCCGATTCCCTGTTGCCAAATCATACATACAAAAAGTTCTCTTTCTGCAGGTTGAGAATGATGAGGTAGCTCGCAGAATCTTGAATGATGCAGTTTCATATCCACAAAGCTTCAGCAAGGAGTGCAAGGATATTTGTGAAGGCCTAATGGAGAAGGACCCAGCAAAACGCCTTAGATTCAAAAACAATGACTGCGAGGAGCTCAAAAATCAAGACTTCTTCAAAGATATTAACTGGGGACGTCTGGAAGCAGGTGGGCATCATCACCAAAATCAACCACACACAAATATATTGAAGCACTTCTAAACAAATCATCATACATGATTTAAACAGCAGTAGCTTTAAACGAGAACAAACATCAGGACACTGTGCTCCTTCTAGCAAATATCTTATTAATTTCACCTGTCAAATCCTACTGGAAAGGCAGGTTAAAGAGGGAATTCCAAACCTTAAGAAATAAGATGGCACAAAAATGGGGTGAAATATAAAAAGAATAGGCATTTTCAGTATGCCATATTTAAATTTGTTTATGTCCTCTGTGTTCCATCTAAAGGTATGCTACCTCCTCCATTTGTCCCTGACCCTAAGATGGTCTATGCCAAAGATATTAGCGATGTGGGCGCCTTCAGCACAATCAAAGGTGTCGTCCTGGATAACAAGGACACCGAGTTCTACAATGACTTTGCTTCTGGCAACGTCCCAATCCCCTGGCAGGAGGAGATGATCGAGACAGGCGTGTTTGGAGAGATGAATATCTGGGGAGAAAACGGCAAACTGCCCAACGACCTCGACCCAAACTACGTGGAAGCCAAAGGTGGAGGATGTGTGCTCCTTTGAGTGGAAACAAATAGAAACAGAGCAGAGGGAAGAACATCTATTTAGATTTGGTATGTGCTTATTTGGTGCCACTTACTCATACTCTGTTGGAATAAATTAATATTATTTGTGTATTTATATATTAATATACATATTATGTACCATATTTGTTATATTTATAGTTTAACAGTAAAAGTGGCAGCATGGTAAAAAATACATCACAGATCTGAAATATTATGTAACAAAAGTGTAAATATGGTTGCACTAATAATCTTTTTTTAGTAAGTACAGACAAATTAAAATAAAATATTTTATATAGAAACCACATGCCATGTTTATATAATAAATTGTTTGGACCAAAGAAAAGCCACTGTATTGACATTGTACCTTTATAGAATTATTGTTTATTTATTTATTATATAACAAATAGTATTTTAGTTATTGTTATGGCAAACATTGTTGATAGAAGAGTTAAAAGCGATCAATAAAATCTGCTGTTGTTGTCTGATGTGTGCTGTAAAAACTAATTCCTCCTTGGGGATAATAGAGTCTTTTAAAAAGTCTTAAATGAGGCTGCTGACAAATGAAGAAAAGACAAGAAGAAAAATGAAAATAGTAAATTTCACTGGTTCTAAATTAATCTCTCTTTGTCCTCACACCACAAGGAGGGATGATTGAACACTAAGTCATACAAAAAAGTTCAAATTAAATAACTATATTTGAAAATTTGATAATATTATGGAGAGAACTTCTACATGTTACTTGTTATTGTTGTCTGTGATTTTGCACTGTCTCAGTCATTAGTCGTGTCTCATGTTTTATATGTTTTGTTATTCCCTGCTCTCCCTTGAAAAACAGATATTGATTAGACTGTTTACATCAATTATTAACCCGTACCCTTCGAAAATTATGGATCACGATGAATCATGAAACATGATGCAATGGAGTTCCCAGAATAGTACGTATTACATGCAAAACAGATCTGACTCTGTGGATGTTTTAAGGACACCGTCCTACTTATTACCTGCTTCTTTTTCTTTTTTTTTATATTTTCTCTTTGATCACACAACTCTTTGTTATTAAGAATCAGATTTTCAGATTGATTTAATTTTACTTTGATTAAAATAATCCAGTGTGATACCAGACAATCATAATGTACTTTCCAGCACATCCAATGTGACGCATGCACTGCTGACAACACTGTTATAACTTTCAATTAACTCCCATCAATCCAATAAACTAATACCTATCTAGAATAAGTAATTTTCTGTTTAAACTGTCATCAGTAATGTTAATGAATAATTCTTTTATATTTAGACTATTTTAAATAAAAACTACATCAATCAATAAATGAACTATATAAAAGTATAAACTAATTATATTTAAATATAAATAAAAACTAATTATAATATAATTTAAAGTGGTCCCTTGAAATCTCACCTCAAGACATGTGAATGAAAAATGGGTTCTATGGATACCCACGAGTCTCCCCTTTGGAGAAAGTAAATGCTTTTTTTTTGCATGTAATAAGATTACACACAAAATCTATCTTCATTTTGACCCTTTTAATGTGGCACTTTTAATTTGTTACTGTTAACACATTGTAAAATCAGTGGTTCTTTGACTGTTGAGCAAACAACAATGCAGTTTATCAGACTGCATATCCAGTTTGTACATCAAACCACAACTTTTTACATTGTACTGTATATACAAGTGATAGGATGGTATTTTTCTATGATGCTCTACATATTTCTATTTTGGTCAAACAAATAAAATCACCACCACACCTGTTTATTTAAATTAGCTTAGTGTTTTTGGTCACTGTACGCATTTCAGAAAAATAAAGATGTCAATCTGAAGAATGGCCAATTTATTTTAATACAATTTCCACAAATTTTGCAAATAGCTACAAGCTCTAAATCACTGACAGCATAAAAGTAAAAAAGTATCTATATGGATTAAAGTAGTAGGCCTACAGTGAAATACGTCAGACATCAATCACATCATTATCACAAATCACAGCTAACATAACTGTGACTTCTAACTTCAAAAATCCATCCCATTTGTTATTTCAGCCACTTCAGTCTGAAACAAAGCCGTGGACAGACCAGCAGACCTTGCCACTTGTAGAGCCATGCCATTAGCAAGGCTAAAAAACATTGTTGTAAATCAGATCAAATGTTGTATTATGTCCAGTGACTGTGTTATGGTCTATCATCCAAATCAATCATTTTTAAAACTTCTCTGTGAGTGTGTGTGTGAATGTGTGTGTTTGTGAGCGAGACAGAGACACTGAGAGCTGTAATCTTAGCTATTGATAGTGGTTAATAATACCACAAAGACGCAGTGACTTCACCGAAACTCAATTGCATAAACAATTAGGCTTCTGTCTTTTTAAAGTCAAATACAACTGTCTTTTCTGAAAGCACATTACTGAACACATAATTGTAAAATTAGCTCATTGGAGAACTGCACAAAGGTTTGTTCAGTTACATAATATTTTAAATGACAAAAGTCATCTCAATGGATAACAAAAGAGATCGCTTAATTTACTGATCAATCTCTTTTTATTCCTCACTACAGTTATTGTTGCTGATGCTGACGGTTACATGGTCAAAAATCATTGTAATCATAATAGAAACCATATTTGCTTTTATTTAAGTAAATGATCTGACCTTAAACTTAATGCCAGTGCAAACTTCTGGTCACAGCCAATATCAGAGTTTGAAAATAAAATAAAAAATACACTCTTTTGAGTGAACTTTCCCTTTAAGCAGGGAGGTCATTGCGGACACAACTGAATAAATATATTATGTGATTGAGGGAAGGGCAAGCAAATAAAATATTAACAGACAAAAGATTAAAGCCGGAATATGTGATCAATACTCTTAAGTATATGACAGTACTTTGAACTGTGCTTCTGATTACTGGTCGGCAAAAGAGAATTCACGTTTGATAAGATACAGACTGTAAATGGAGGGTTTGAAGCATCTCATAAACAAATAATAGCATGACTCCAACAAAAGGTAAATATCTCTCAACATCTCCCTTTACATTTAAAAGTCATAGTCACAGAGTATTGGGAAGGTTCATGCAAAGCCGGTGAAAAAAATGAATACTCAATTCTTCAGCATATACATCAGTATTATATGAATGGTTGTCTCTCTATATTAATATAGAGAGACAACCAATTAATCATAAGGGGGTGTTGGAGCAACCTGGTCTTTGGCCAACTTATTTTAGGTGACAGCATTGTACTAGTGTGTCAACACAATGTTTCCAAAGAATAGACATCAGAGTTAAATCTAAATGCTCTGGTACAAAAAATAAGATTTACAAATAACAGGAATTCCAACTTATCATTTGTCCTGCAGCAGACTCAGACTCAATACTTAACCAGGGCTGAAAGATACACTTTCTGCCTTCAATAAATCACTCACCTTACCCTGCTTCCAGCGTTTCATCTGCCCTATATTCAGTATTTCTACATTAATATTTTCTCATGAAATTTGTTATGACCTCCCAAAAGCCACCAATTCCTTAAAAGCTAATAAGAACCTATAAGAACATCACTTCATAGGATGTTTCCCAAATACTCACCGAATCATCAAACCTTTCCCTGATCGACTTATTTCGTCCTGCATAAAACATTTTGCATTTATGACTACAGTGCTCTTGAGAGGCTTCTTAAAGCACCACTAATGAACAAAACAATGTATCGTTGTGTCAACTGTCTGGTTTTGAAGCTTCAAAGCAATCCGTGCCAAAGGATTCCAGTCTTTTAAACTGTTGGCTCCTGGATTTACAGCTGTGATAACAAGACATTTACAAAAGATTGTCACAGTGCCAATAAAAAGAGAAAAAAAGCTCATTGGATACCTACATTTCAATTGGTGACGGGTCAGGCACCTGAAATGTCATCAGCTTTAGGCGTGAATAGCAGGCTTATACTGTAGAGCTAATAAATCAATGTTCATATTAGTCTAGGTTTGAGGGCATGAGAAAAAAAGTCAGTTGTCACACTTTCAAAATGTATATCGGACACAGAAGTGGCGGATAGAGCTCCACACAGAGGCAATATATATCAGATTTGCAAATTATTAATAGAAAAGTACATTCAAGATGAAAGAGATCATCGAGGTTATAGCACTTTTCCTAGGTTTTGTAAGCTGGATAATGATTTTTATATCACTACAACATCAGTATTGGAAAGAATCTACCCAGGATGGCAGCGTAATTATAACCTCCGCAATCTATGAGAACCTCTGGATGTCTTGTGCTAGTGATTCAACAGGGGCATATAACTGTCGACACTTTCCATCTCTTTTTGCTCTCCCAGGTAAGTAAACATGGAAGTATTAGTTGTCTAACAACCTAGTTATCATTGTTAACATACTTTACAACATCCCAGGAAAGTCACTTGTATCTGCTGTCAAAAAAATGGAAATAAGATTGTTAAGAATTAATAACAATTTGCTGCTTTGGCTCTTATCAATCTTTTTCAAATTATTAATTACTAGGTTCAGTTTTTTTTACTGATGATTCAGCTTTAAGTAATAGCCGACTGCATTTTCTAATTTACAACGTCTACTGAGAAAAATGTGGCTTTATATTCTTTTAGTGAGGCACTTACTTTTCTTCTTGGATAGTCTAAATTACCATGAACTAGGCTATAGACACAGACTAAACTTTTTAGTCTTTTTAAAAAATTTTGGGGGGGGGATACATTTACGAGAAAAAAACTTGAATTTAAAGTGACGCATTTTGATAAAAAAAACTCTATACTACCACACTATACGAAATACTATTTTTTAGAGGTGCTTGTGCTATTAAAGGCTCTGTACTCTACTGGAAGCAGGATATGCAGATGTTCATAACAATATTATATTAACAAGTATTATGAGATACTTCCTTTTGTCCAAAAATTTGGGAAGAACTGATTTCCGAGTTTGTTTATTTCTCTTGTAAATTAATGACTTTTCTCTCAGAAATTTTAACTTTTTTCTCAGAATACTACCCCCCTCCCATGGCTTGGCTTTTTTGAAATCTACAATTGACGTAATACGTGGTTGTAAAGAGATGTACTGTAATCCACATGGGTTTGACAAAAAGCTGTGCAATCCAATCCAATAGCTCCGTAAAGTGTGTGAAGCTTGTAAAGTTTATTGTTGTTTAAGAGGAGTTCAAACCCACTTTATGGACTTCTGTGTCACTGTAATGATTACATTATATTTTTTGGAGTATACATCCTCAATAAAAAAGAGAAGCCTCATAAACCTTACAAACATTAGGACTATGTAATCATCATTACACATGGTGATTGCATACTACATATAACTAGAAGGGCACTCGGAGAGCACAGACCAATAGACCCATCTTCTGTGATGTGCAAATCTGAAAGTGCAACCACTATGTATGTCTGGATATATTCCTAAAACTATTAGAACAGTCAGACTTTTGATTTGCCAAGCTGAAGCCTCATCATCTTAGCTGTGCATTTATTTTGTACTTCGAGCAGATCAGGAATTCTGGATAAATCTGGAAAAATCACATTCCTCTTTTGCCCATACCACATGGCATGCAACAAATTGCAATGTTAATAAAATTATTAATTAGTGTATCTGCCCTGTGATTCACATCAGCTCCAAAACTTAATGGGTTCCTCCTTGGCCCATGCTACCTTCTTCCACCCCAGTTTCACGAACATCAGGACAGCAGCTTTCCGCAATCCTGCTAACAAACAAAAATTACCTCATTGGAAGAGGTAATAAGCAGTTAAGTCAAGCTGTACACCTGTGAAATGGTACTTTGTTTGTTGCTGGGACTGTGTACTCCTAAAAATATGATGTTATCCAGTACAAAACCACTATGTCTTTAGAAATGTCGACATTGACTTAAAGCAGTTAAGACAAGCTGTTCTTAGTTCTTGTTATTCTGTCCACTGCTGCTAGTTGCTGTTGACCTGCATGTAACTTAACACTTGTGTTTAGGTTTATTGCATTTGGAAGTAAGTAAGTATGCCATTATGATGACAAAGATCTAATAATGAACTACACTACATTTGTTAAACCAATCAAGCACTCAAACAAGTCTTTTGGGCTAAGCTGTCAGATAAGCAAGCAGGTTTATCTGAGGGGCAGCAAACCTGGTCATGTGGTGAGACACTGTGACCCCTCAATGCCTTTACCTTTCCCATCATCCCTGGGGGGTGAAGTGAGGAGCCAAAACCTGTCTTGAAACCCATCAATAACGGTATGACATTAATGACACAGTGTTCAAAACAAACAGGTGACAAATAGCTTGTAGTCTATAGATGTTAGTAAGCAGGTCTGAAGGGCTTACATTTGTAAACATTCTGAGTCTTGATAAGGTTCAATAGAGTTGAATAATAGGGAAAATCATATGTGGGCTATCTGGAATGAATTGTTGATTTGCTGTTTTCTGTAGCATCTTAGAACTGGGGGGGATGGTGGAAAGTGGTCTGGCACACTGAGACCTTGGGTCCAACACATCCACACATTTGTGCAGGAAAAGCTTGGAGAGTCACCATTTGTATAAAGTTTTTCTCTGTCTGGATAACTCTATACAATTTGGACAGAAGAAACAAAGAAATATGAATGCAATAGTGAAAGCCTTTGCCTTCTCCCTTGAGTTTCTGGGCTGGCTGTTGGTTGGGATTGCCTTCCAAATCGATACTGGAAGGTCTCTTCAGGCGCTGGTAATGTTATTAACAGATCAGCAGCAGTTACAACAGCTGACACTTAATGGTATGTGGCCAACACAGAAATTGCTTTATTAGTATTGATGACTACTTATCTGGCTTTAATGATAATCCACCCAATAAAGGGATGAAATTTTGAACATGGTGACGTAGCAAACGAGAAAGACTTTACTCTTCAAGCAACTTAGTATAGAGGTTGTGCAGGGAAAAACGGCTTTTGGAACAGAGCACCTGAACAAAAACAAAAGAAATACATTGTGGTTCATCTCCACGTTGTAAAGGGCTGCCAATGTTACGTACAATGAAACAGTCAAAATTCACATTGAATTCAGCCAAACAGCGGAGAAATGGCTGTTCTTATTTTTCATTGTTTTCTTTGATCTAGGCAGGACCTTAGTGAACCTTTTAATGCCTATCTGGAGCGTTCTACTGTACTGGCTGTAATCTGTGTTGAGAGGGCTAATATAACATAATAATGATGAGAGAAGATAAGCAAGCATAAAAAGATTTATTCATTTATTAGGATCCCCATTAGTTGTAGCCGAATCAAAAGCTATTCTTCCTGGGATCCACACAGACACAAAACTAAATATTTCAATGTAGACATTTACCATGAACATTTATAAAAGTGATCCAATAGACAGATAGAATTGTAGAGCACATGAAACTAGATGCCCAGCCCGGGTGAATTTTTTTTATCAGGTCCTCATCTCATCACACAAATAGGCACAAACATACTTTCCAGTCACATGTACAAATATATTTCTGTTTCGCTAAAATGAGGGATTGAAAAGGTCGGTGCATTAGTCACTTTCAGTGATATCACAGCTGCTTTCAGTCAACTGAAACTACAGAGCTGCGTATATATTTTCCCTGTTTGAAAATGCTGGATGTTTGGATAAACTTCAGAAAATAATTTGTGGCTGAGGTTGTACTTTATACTCTACCCATGTCAGAAGAGCCGTCAGAGGCAAATATATTAATCTGTGTGTATATGGAACACACATTATTTGAAATAAATATATGAATGTAATTTGTTTGTTGTTGTTATTGTTTGCACACAGGGTTAATTCAGGCCTCCCGGGCACTCATGATCACTTCCATTGTGTTGGGGACGTTTGGGCTCGTGGCTACTCTCACAGGAATGCAGTGCTCAAAAATAGGAGGAGAGAACTACATCCTGAAGGGGAGGGTTGCTGTAATCGGAGGAGTGTTCTTTTTACTACAGGGTAAAAACACAGGGATGGATGTAATGACCATGTAACAAAGAAAGCATGAGGAAAAGTCACTTTAAATTTGCTTAAGAAATGTCCCTTCCTTTCCAGTGTTTTAAAATGACATGTCAAAACATACATAACTGACAAAATATAGTCTCTAAGAGTATTTTTAACTCTACTTATCATTGATTTAAGGAAAAGAGTCCAACCTCTTCTTAACACAAACACCCAGAAAGGTAAAGCAGGGCTGTTACTCCAAACTCTGTTGACAGAAGCTATCAGAAAATGTGATGAATTGTTTGCTTTTCTACATGTGACTGGCCTCATAAATCATCTTATTGCATGAAATGAAATAGTGTGAGCCCATTAGGGCTGATCTAAAAACTCCATACAAACCCTGAAAAGGTTTGAACCTTGTTCATCTTATCGTAGCTTGCAAGTGTGGGCGTTGTTTGCTTTGACAAAATGTCCCACCTGCCTGAAGTAAACGGTGTTTGGTATTTTGTGTTTTGTAGGGATGTGCACCATGATTGCTATATCTTGGTATGCAGCCAACATCACAACACAGTTCTTTGACCAGTTTTATCCAGGGATAAAGTAAGTCAATACAATCTGTACTAGTGTTCAGTATTGAGTTAAAAAGAAGCAAAACAATAGCTGAATTGCACAAAGCGACATTGCTGTTTACCATAGACTCACTGTTATTGTATCACAGGTATGAGATTGGAGAGGCCTTGTATATCGGCTGGTCTTCAGCCATACTTGCCATTTGTGGAGGTTCATGCCTAATGTGTGGTTGCCAAGCTAATACAAAAAAGTGAGTATGTGAAAACTTGGATATAAATTTACTGGGTGTAGTATGCTAGGTGCATATTCTCCTAACTGAAACACATCTTTTGTGTTTTAGACGATTTCCATACCAACCATCCACCACAGAACACATGCTGTCAACTGGGGCAACGTCTGAGTCTGTCCCAAGCAACTATGGCAGAAATGTGTATGTCTGAGAGGTTGCACTAACACTTGATCACTGTATAGTAGTTTAACCCCAGTAACCTGTCAGCGCCACCATTTTGATTTATTAACTTTATCCAATCTAAACCCGTTTGTTTTATAACAGGTTATATAATTTGTAATATTATGGACTGTGAAAAGTACTCACATATAGAGTATGTACCTTGTTAATTTACTGTCAGCTTACAGAGAGAAAATGCAACATAATGAAAACAGAAATAAACATGGAAAGTAATTGCTGCTGTGATTGAACATGTCCAGAATGTGGTGGGAATCCCAGTATAGGACCTTTTCAGCCTTTAATAACAGAACCTTTAAATTTCCTTTATTATTATTGCTACAGGATAACTTGTTAATAAGAAAAATGTTACAAGAAAGCTAATGAATATGACAGGAAAAATCTGATCCTCTGACCTCAGGGGACTATTACTTACTTTATTTTAAAGGTTTAAGATTTTTTTTAAAACACTCTCCTGTTCATGACTTTTTTTAGTATATAAAGTGTAATCATTTGTTATACACATGTATTATCACACCTTCCTTAGGTTTTCTACTTGATAAATAATCAAGTTCTGGATTTAAAGAAAATAATGTTCCTTGGTATCTATCAAGATCTGTAATAAGGAGTAAATGTGTGACTTTTCACTGTACAAAAGCCATAAAGGAAATTTGTAATTTTAACTTGGAATTGTGATAGTTGGTGTACTGCGATTATATACTGGTCCAGTATATAATCACAGTACATCAAGGGTTCCACACAGTGTGATTTTATTTTCACTCTTACCTCTGAAACCAATCTCAACACTTGAGTAACAGGGCTGAAACAAATGCAAACATAGCTTTTGGGCTTGTTAATCTTTTTTGCTATGTGTATATTTCAAGTGTAATGTCATACAGTTTTCTTCTGGGTGATTTTACATGCATGTCTGTGGATTTTCATGTTTTATATACAATTAAATATAATTTTCAGTGACTGCTTCTGATGAATACAGCCGCTGAGCAATGGGCCTAAATGTCATTGATAAAAAGAATACCAGTTCACATGTTCAAATAAAAGGAGTTTGGGGTTACAGAGCTTGTTTGCACATCATCCTCTCCTTTGACTCATTTAGCCAAAGCAGCTCAAAGCGAAGACTGTAGTCATGACACAGAGTTGAATGTAGTCAAATGATATCATGTACATATAGAGAGCGTAATCAGCAAAGACCAACCAGCAGGTCCAGCTGCCTTATTTCAATACCTGGTGAAGATTGTCGTAGACATCAGGGAAAAGATCATGCAGAATTAATGCTCCACCTACTGGAATCATGTGGTGTCACATCTGGGATTGGCTTTATTGAGGTCAAATCACACAGTGCTGCTTTTTTTTTTGATGAGAAACTGGTCAAAGTCTTCACCCAGGATCACCAGATTTGGACTGCTTCCAATTTCCCGATGAAGGCAATATTTTATTTCTTTATGCAATCACAAATGTAAATATACAATCTGAAACTTTAAAAACTTAAAAAATTACATGTAGACTCTAAATTGCCCTTAGGTGTGAATGTGAGTGGTTGTTTGTGTCTGTGTGCCCCGTGATGGACTACCCTGCCTCTCATCCGGTGCCAGCTGGGATTGGCTCCAGCCCCCAACAACCCTGTACACAAGATAACAGTTCACTATGGATGGATGGAAATTATATGTGGGCCCTAGTAAATATCAAACGCTTTAATTCAGGACATCACTTTGTTAAACCAGGATAAAGACGAGGTCAAGGAGGAACCAGATACAGAGAAGCCGTTTGTAAAAGTTGAATTTTTATGGCGGAAGACATAAATAAAAGCTTGCTTTGTCACAGCAAGATACATATTTTCCTTAGACAACGTCTAATCTTTAGGTGCTTCATTTGCTAAATTGTCTAGGTTTTGTCCGTCAAAACGTATAAAGTGCCAGCCTTCGCTGGCGGTGAGGTCCTGAGCCCCTTTAGCAGCATAGAAGTCTCGAGAGGGAGTATTCCAGTCCAGCACAGACAGCTGCAGTCGCACACACTGCTTCTTTTTCCCCACCTGAGCAAACAAAACCCTTTTTTGGTTAATCATGCACTGTTACTGCTTAAAGGTGCCATCACATGTTAAAAATTTGCCTTTTCACCTCAAGATAGTGATAAACTGTTTAATGGTCAACATATAAGTCTTACCTCTGCTACTTTGCTCAGTAAACCCTTGCCAATGCCATTTCCTATAAAGGAAATCAATAAAAACCCATGAGGTTGAAAAATGTTTTACTTGGGCACAAAACATTTACAGAGACGCTGGCAACATAAAGAAACCGTGATTCAGACTTTACACAGTAACTTCATTGACAATAATTCACCTCTGAATTCTGGCATCACGTACAGGTCCTCCAAATACACTGTCCGTCCTTTCCATGTGCTGTAAGTGTAAAAGTAAAGGCCATATCCAACAACTGTGAATCCTATATGGACAAAAAGAAACAAGCAATCAAAAAGACAAGTGGAAAGAATTCCAGATTTATAAAATAAAAAAATCACTACAAATTCAGTGGGATACATGCCCTTGTGTGTTGTGTAAAAAAAGCGGTAAATGTATTTCAGGTATGTGGTGATCAGTGGGGCCTATGGCCATAAGGATTTGTTGGATAGTAAATGGGCACAGACTTCTTATTTTCTACGTAAGATGGCAACAAGTTCAAAGCTGGCTGAAAGGGAAGACCACAATGATTACAATGATAAAGGTCTTGATCGACACTTTACCTTCTTTAGATTTATGCTTCTCGGGTACTTCTGCAACAAGGCATTCAAAGAAGGGATTCTGGCAGAACCCGTCACGCTCCAGTTCTAAAATAAAATAAAAAAAGTAAAGTAACAGAACAGTTTTCCCAAATACAAACATTTCATCTATCTATTAGAAGTTATTCATCCATGTGACAAATCAAGACGATTCAGTACTGCTGGACTCACCTCTGCTTCTACAGTTACTGATAAGAGCACTCCCTTGATTGTATTTTTTTAACCTATGTCTGGTTGCAAAGTCTGGCACTGGTTACTCTATGATAACTAATCTCACACTGCACATTGTACACTTCAGACACAAAGATGCAAATCCAGTACCCCTTCTATTGATTGCCACGGTGGTACTATAGACCTTTTTCATATCATATACTGATGTCAGAGCAGGAAAAAAAAAAATTGTATGCAAGTTTCACCTGGGCTGTGAAAGTCTATTAGGTGTGTCAGTAAAATGTTGGCCCAACACATGAAACACAACAACTGTTACAGTCATTGTTACAGTGCTTCTCAGAGGATGTTATTTTAGCCTGTTGTCCAGTCATACAAAGGATAAACTGAGACAATGTCTGAAGCACACTTTTAAATTATTTACCACCTTTTTGTTTTATTTAGTAACCTATTTGTTTAATATTGCAATAATAATATATGTTTGGTGCAAGCTGGAACTATTTTCCATCAGTCATGATTAAATGCAAAATTACCTTCATGAGAGATCTTTACTTGGTCAGGCATTTTTTCATAAACCGCCAACTCCTGAGAAAAGGGGGATTTAATAACGTTATGTGAGAATGTATGTTTCATTTGACAAATATACCAAAAGAAATGTAACAATGAATGGTAGCACAGACGTTTAGGTGATGTGTATTTCATTTTAGAGAGGGGTGTGTGTTCGTTTCGTTGCAACTCTGACACTCACTAATATCATCCTCGATATTTCTTTGCAGTCTTCTTTTGTTGCTGGCCGTATCTTGAATTTCATGTCTGCAGCAAAAACAGGGGTTGGCTTTCACTTTACCAGAGTCCACGCTTAATCCAGACTTTCTTCTTCTTCACAGAGAAGTCAAATGACTGAAATCTCAACCGCGTTGACGCCGAATACACAGGAAATGGTTCCGGTGTTGCAATGTTGTTTTCAAAATAAAAGATAAATCAATTCAAACGTGCAACTTAAATAAAGTTAGATGCCATCGCTCGATTAATAATTTCAACTGGTTATTGAAATAAATAGAAGGCATGGAACTGTCCCATTTAAACCCATCCTACAACGACTTCAACAAACAACAGTTTTTTGATCTACCAGCAGATTTGAGGCGTCTTACCGCAATGCTCAGTGGGAGTCGTAGTTTCCTTAAGTGTTCACTGTAGTCTTAACATGAATGAATTAACATGTGAATTTTTCACTTTTAAAACTTTGTTTTTTAACTTTACTTTTTTACTACTCAAGTAAAACAAGGCTTCTCTGTTCAACTCTTAAGTACTTTCTTATTATTTATACTTTTTACACTATTACATTTATCCAACAGCCCTAGTTGCTGGTTACTAATTCACAGCTCCTTTACATACAAAACATGTAAGGTATTTATACTTTTTATTAAGAAAATGTTGAATGCAGGACTTAAGGTTAGGCATTATTACACTTTGTGTTTTGCTCTTTTAACTTCCTTCACTGACAGTCAGTAATGTTTTTTGTTCTTTCTTTTAGCACCACTCGTGGGGTTTAAACTGCTTTGTGATTAGTGATGACACCGAGCCAGTTGCTTCTACATTATTCTGTGCAAACCTTTTGCTTGAGCAGTTATTTAAGGTATTTTACTGTTCAGATATTTGGTATTGACAAAACTTCATAAACTTTAAAACCAGCTTATGACAATAATGTTCTTAAAAAGTATAAATAACAGTATAAAACCATATATAAAAACACACCCAGATAAAAGATTTCTTACAAAATCTGATTTATTTTAGAGTAAAAAAGCACATTAAATCAATTAGAATATAAGCTGAAACATTACAGATCTCACAGATGGACCTCAGTTTTCATTGGGCATTAACATATTTACAATGTCTCGTCACATTTGCTCTTTATCAGTCAAGAGTTCAGATATTCCCCTTCATACCACTCCAGAGTTTACCCCTTTAAGTTCAGCCCAAACAAACCTCCTTGTGTGTCCAGCGGCACCAACATGGTAAAAAATCTCCACTACATTTACAAGTCTCAGTGTGGCGACTGTGTGCTCGCTCCAGGAGACTCAGACCGGTCTAGCTTCATCCCTGCTTCTAGTGGGGTTGAGGAAATTGAGGTTGTTAGCACAGAGCTCTTAGTCTCCAGAGAGGAAGAGGCAGATGAGGGCAGAGATACCACTATGTACTTCTGCAGAGGTCGTGAACTTGTGAGTCCAGGGCCACTGCCAGACTCCAGTTTTACCAAAGGCTGCAAGGTCGAAGTGGCGCTGGGAACAGTGCTAGTGACTGGTGAAGCGGACTGGGAAGAGCTGAGGGTGATAACCTAGAAGGAAGACAAAAAGACAGATGCAAGTTTGCACTCTGAGGAGTTGTGGGTTTTATAGAGAAGGATTCAGTAAACCCCATAAAGTAAAATTTGAGACCTGTGAGGATTTACCCCATCACACTATTAACGATAAGGGCCCATATATCAATTATGAATCATTAATTTGATCTAGCTTTGAGAGAAGAAGAAGAGCGCACCTAGGCCAACCTCATGCACAGAGAGAAAGCAAGAGCAAGACAGAGAGCGAGCGAGACTTTTGCAGAAAGGAGGATGAAAGCCAAAGTTTACTGTACTCATTTTAACTTGATTCATTTATGAAAAAACATTTTGATTATTTTGATCAGTAGACCCTTACAGACTTAAGAAATATTAATTATTCTTATATTATTATAAATTAATCATTATTGAGGCTTTCTGCCCACTTCAAAAGGTAGGGACTCACCACTTCTTTTTCATCCCTCATTAACATCTCATGCCAGTAAATCTGAATGAATAATACCTTGGTGCTCATTGTTTCCATAAATGAACTGAAAGACTGAATTGCGGAGAATTTATTCGATGTAACGATGTGCAGCATGTCCATTTTGACAAAAGTTGGAGCATTTTAATTGATCTAATTGCCCTAAGCGGCCATCGATTCATATCTTTATTTTCCTCCGTTTTCCCGTGATAACGGGATAATTTTCTCGTGATCTCGAGATAACGAACCACAGCTGAATACAGGTGTGTTTCTTTGCAATAATTTCGTGTCAATTTGCTGAGTCAGCAGTTAGCTCAGTTAGTAGATCGCAGGACTTGCATCCCAAGGATTTTAGGTACGACCCCTGCTCTCCTCAAAGTTTTTTATTCTTCTTTTGTGTGTTTTTTAATCATTCTCTTCAAAAAAGTTGTTATCAAGAGATTTAGGGGAATCCTCTCACACATTTCCCGACAGCTATTTCAAAGGTTCTGAAATAGCCATTAGGAAATGTGTAGTTAAATGGATTATCCTGAATGAGAAGTGGATGAATTTCCTCTGCCTAGGAATGATGGGGAAATGAAAAGTCTATAGGCTGATGAATGTGGACCAATGGCTGGGATGCGCACACTCCAGCACGTGCTTAATTGTGAGCATGTGAATTAGTCATCTTCATAATAAATTTATTGAAGAGGAATATGAAAAAGATTTTTTATAAAAATTGGTCTTCCATGAAAATCAAACTCACAATCTTAAGACTATGAGTCATGTACCTTACCAACTGAGCTAATCAGTGACACTAATAGCACCTTGAAATTACCATTAAGAAACATTCTAGCCAACCCATGTTAAACTACTGTTTTGTTATCTCGAGATCATGAGATAATTATCCTGTTATCACGGGAAAACGGAGTAAAATAAGGATTAGAATCGATGGCCGTTTAGGGCTTCCGTAGGTATGCACAATCTAAGTAGCTTAAAACTACCTTAAGCAGGTGACCTGAACGTCTATTAAAAAAATATATAAAAAAAAAAAAAAGACCAGGTGTCTAATTGAGACTTACTTGTCACACCAGGCCAGAAAAAGGGCCAGGCTTTGGACAGGTTTTTACGGTAATAAAAAATACATTTTACTTTATTCAGAAGTTTTTTGTTTGTTGTTTTCATATTGTAATACATACAATACATAGAGATATGTTGTTATAAAAGGTCACTGATGATGGTTTCATTGTTATTATAGCTGCTTTATTGAGATGGCAGTAAAAAGGTAAAAGGTATATTAAAGAAAGTTTTATATTTTGATTATATTATCTTATCAACATAGGCATGTGAAGGTGCCCTGTGGAAATTTCCTGCAGAGGTGGCACTGTACACTAACTGTATACTCACAATGTGATGAGTGTTAAACTGAAAAATCAGAAGTACCTGCTGAGTGGAGGCAGCTCCTGCACTGGTTGCCATTACGATGTACTTTGTTGCCGGGGGAGATGGCTGCGATGGGGTCCCTGGTCGAGGGGACATCAGGGTGAGGGCGCTTGGGACCTTAATGATGCTGGGAGTACGGGGCCCTGCCGACCCACTTAACCCACTTTGTGAGACTGTAAGGGTGGGACGAGGCTGCAAGAAAAAGCCGTCATTCATTTCTGAACAGCTCTGTGTTTACTTACACATCCTTCTGCAATGCATTTTTAACCCCCCCAGCTTTTTCACATTTATTTATACCTCAAAACAGGTCTTAATCAAATGTGTTAAATGTACCTGGGTGATTGTTAATGTGGTTCTGTTGACTTGTTGAGCTTGCAGCGCTGCTTGAGTCCTGGCCTTAATTACATGGGAGCAAAGCATGGGTCCGAGGTAACCATAGTCTGTCCGATACTGATCCACGTTGTCAGGCTGAGGTCGTATCTTGGCAATAACACTTGCACAGTGTTTCTTCAAAAACAAAACACAAACACATTTTATACATATGAAACATAAGTCATGTTGTTTTTGTTTGACTGTTTTGGTGTTTTTTACTTTTCTGTGGGAAATTGTCTATTTCTAAATGCGTAACCCCAGAACTTAATTTATTACCAGTAAGAGGCTCTGAACATGGTCAGCTCCGATCTTATCAATATTGGAGACCACTGGTCCTTCCATCACTGCTTTGATGCGAGCACCCTCTACAGAAAGCCGAGGAAGGATCAACGTCTTGATCACCTACGAAAAGACGAAATCAAGAGTTTGGTGACGATGGAAGAGAGGTTATTGAGAGAGAGAAAATGACCAAATGAAAACAGAATCACACTCACATCAGGTCCTAGTTCAGCAAGTCCAGCGATGCAGCCGTAACGAGTCGTCCATTGGGTTTTGTCATCCAACCAACTCTGAGGAAACACGTCAGTCTGGTTTAGTGTTTTAAACAGTGGTGTCAAAGATACATTTAAAGGAGGGTAACATTGTCTACTATAACAAGTGATCACTTACTGTATCTGTGGCTACAATTTCATTTATTAAATATAAAATCCATGTGTCTTACTTCCACCTGTTTTTGAGCCAGGGTGCTTGGATATTTCAAAATTAAATTTATCAATCAATGAAATTTCAAATACTACACAATAAGACGAATGATATATCTGATACCTGACTGGCCTGAGGTATGCCTGCAATGAGTCTGGTTGTGGTTGCTCTGTTTTTGTTTTGTTTTTTTATACGAAACTGAAATGCCCTACAGGCATAAATAAAGTTTGAATTGAACTGAATATGTTTCGCCGTATTAACAAAACTTATCTTTACCGCGATATTTTTGGGAACAAAATATCCAACATAAAAACCCACCTTAGTAAAAGTCTTGGTAATACGGGACTGGATGTTGTTGGTCGTAGTACTGAAGGTTTTACAACTTTGGGCCATGAGGCGAGCAGCAAAGTCTCGTAAAGCCCAGTGGTTGTCAACATCTGGTCGCAAACACAGCTGCTTACTCACAATACACGTCACCACAGCTGGGATGAGCTCATGCAGCTACAAATACAGATAGAAAAATTATAATATTAGTATAAAAGTATTTCATTTTACATTTAAAAAAATGATTAGATTTTGTTTGGTTTCTTCACTCACGTATTTTTCCAAATACAGGGTGGGGTTGTCCATTAGAGCTTTGACCA